CTTTGAACACCCATTCCATTCCAGTATTCATTCCTCAGCAGTCAATAGATCAGATATAAAGGATTAAAGGTCTCGATTAGGTTAATTACTCGCTTGTTAATTAATTTCAATTATCGAAGCCTCATTGACCCAATGCTTAATTAAAGATTCATTTATACTTATACACTAGAAAATCTTAATTGTTTTTTCTTTTGCCAACCAAATGTGAATTCTTTTGTTTACTCTACATTATCTTTAAAGCCAAAACAACCAATTTTATAGTATTCGCTTAATTCACAAGTTTATAATGCAATCAAGTTGGACTTGATACGACTGGTAGTAGCATGTGATATCAGAATTGAGTAGAAGTAGATGTTACAATTTGATGTAACTTGCATTAAAAAAATTTGTTGTAAAAACTGCGAATTTATTAAGTGAACATGCTTGTAAATACGTGTAACATTTTTAGACTGTTGTGTTACCCCTTATCGCATGCGTTTGGCTTTAGTCTCTTCCTCTATAGGTCTCGCCTAAAGGCAGAGTGAATAACTTGACACTGAAGAAAATCATCGTCGTGGATGTATGTGTTCAAACATGATAATGCCTGACAGTCTTAGGGTCATTTATCCCCATTATTATTGAACAACACAGCGCCTGAGACTCCTTTACCAAGAGTAGTAAAGGCAAACCTTCGCTACTTTCTTATATGAAAGGGTCATTTGGATATGAGAGTATAAGATCAACAACATGAAACGAAATAATACTACACTTTGCTTGCCTTTTAAAACGAAAAACGGGAAAACCATTTCATAAACACCACCAAGATCTCTGCTGTTTTTATAACTATATATATATATTTATTTGTGGAGAAAAACCCAACAAGGTTAAAAAGAAGCTTGACATATACCAATGTTTGAACTAATCCTCCTATATATATGTTATGAAATAATAACCTGAAAATGGGGAAAACTGAAGGGAAAACAAAAAAAAAACCAGAGAAAGTTCAGAAGACATATTATAAGTTACCTCAACACTTGTCATTTTTCAACCAAGCAATCATTTCAAGAACCCATCCTCCACCCTTTGTAAATCACTCACCTCCATGGAGGGAAGTCCCAACGTGTCTCCGGCTCTTTTCGCTTCCCACCAATGCTAATAGATGAACTCGACGAGGGCTCTACATTTGCTCCCGAATGCTCTCCCATAGCCCCGCTTTGTTCCAGGGATAGAAACTGCCTAAAACTTGTCGACTCTCTGTTTCCTACCTCAACTCCAAACCCAGAACTCTGATCAAAATTTGGCCGCACTGATCCATTTAAACTAGGCGATCCACCCGCCAAACTCATGAACATATGTTGTTGAGGGAATGGAGGCTGCGCATATGGGGTAGATCCGATTATTTGAGGCATCATCACTGGAGAACCCCTTGAGTCCACCATGTATGGAATAGCAGTTCCAGGAACATACATGGGCGATGACATTGACAAACCAGTAGGACCAGTCAATCCATTGTAGCCATAGATAGGGGGTGGCGAAAAGGAGACACCAGGGGCTAAACCTAAAGAGTTTCCCATTCTTGCCATGTACAATCCTCCTGAGGGCTCGAGGGACTTACCATTGGACAAGAACGAAGCCATCTGTGATACAGAGTCTTTTCTATCAACGTCCACTTTTGTACCCAAGATAGAAATAACCGGTTCATCCACTTTGTGCCCTCCATACTGGGCTGCACTCCATGGGTAGTAGGGACCCTGATCACGTGAATCTATGAAAACTTGTGGCCTGTCATTCAAATCAAAGTTTACCTCCTTGCCTGATTGCTGAGCAAATGACAATGGAGCAGGTGATGCGCTTTGCTGACCATTGTGACTTAGAAACAATCTTGTTTCCATCTTCAACTCGGGAGGTGGGGGCATATCATCATCTTCATTTGTACAATTCAAATCCAAGTTGAACCTGCTTGATCCGCGGGGGTCAGCTTCATGCGAAGACTCTCCACTCCTAGAGTTTGTTGACGAGAAAGGAAACTGTTTCCAGGGACTGAGATCTTCAACTTGATCATCTCCTACCTCAATCACATTCAGATCTATACCACGACAACTCACTTGCTTGTCTCTTAAATCCTCACTAGGAACTTCTTTCCTGCTAAGAGTTCTTTCCAATTGCAAGGGTGCTGCTGCAGGCATTCTAAAAGCTGGGACAGAATGTGAAAAAGACATG